CAGTTTCTCTAAACCCATAACTTCTCTGCTCTCTCCTCGCATCCCTCCCTGTTTGTCTATAACAGCAGGTGCCAGCTGGGAACAGACCCACTCCTTGAAGAAGAAATGAGCCAGGAGCAGATTGGCTAGACAGGTGGGCATGTCAGGCCACTGTGGGCTGGGGAAATGGCAGGGACAACTCTCCAGGTCTTGCTGGGAGGTGGTGATAAAGGGAGGAGGCACTCTTGCTAGGAGGATCTGCATATACATGGCTCCCATGTGTCAGCTTATAATGCAAAGGCCAAGCATAATCTTCACCCTCCTACCAGACACAAAGGGTTAAAAGTAAGCAGAAGAGAGAGAAGTATAAATATGCAAACACAAGAAAAACAAAATGCAAAGGAATGTTTTATTAATAGAGAAAGAAACCAGTATTAAACAGAAGGGAATGAGGACACATGAAGGTGACATAAGTCATGAATAAGAAAGCAAAAAAAACTCACTACAGCCACTCTGTTTTGTAGATGTTTATTTGTCCATCACAGTTGTTATTTGCCTTTATTAAAACGCCATATGAATCTCCAGGAAGCCTGGACTCCTGGCAGGTCTGATGAGACCCAACCAGTTGCACAGGCCAAAGATTCCCAGCCCAAAAAGCATGGTCATGATCAAATGTTAACAAAGGGAGCCAATGGCAAACCAAAAACAAACAAAAAAAATGTACAAGGATATCATTTTTGGCAAAAGGGAAGCATTACCTTTGGTCTCTTGAGTTGCCGCTTTCCTTTGAGGAAGAGGTTGGCAAGGAAAGGTTCTTCTTCTTCTCCTCACTTTTTTCCTCTGATGCATCTGTCCCCAGTAAGGAGGAGGAATGAAAAAGACACTTAGATGCTACAGACGGTTTAGGACAGGTCTCTACACAACAACCCTACCTATCCTAAACACGACTAACACAGAGAACCAAGTCATCATAGCGTAACATACCTTGCAATGACCCCATAGCCACCTTCCTACCAGCCTCTACATGGAAAGGGTTCTAGCACACCTCCTTCCTGCCTAGCCAGGGGAAAGAACCCGTTTCCTTCACTCCCCAAAGAGATTAGCTTCCTCATAAGGGAGCTCCATTTGAGCCAGTTTCCCTCCTAGCAGAGCCCTTGCTGCTGAATGCACAGACTGGAGTACAATTTTTCAGAAGTCTCTCTGACTTTTGAAAATGGGACTTAAATTGTGTTGTGTTGAAGAGTGCTTAAGAGGGCCAGCACCTCTCAAGGAAGGTCTTGGCAGCCCTGGATACACTGTTTTAAGGGATCTATTTCTCTTTTAAGTTAGCTCAGTACTGTTGAAAGACATGACAGACCCAGAGGCAAGAGTTTGATTTTACCACAGCATGGGTCCAGCTGAGGAATCAGCAAGGACAAGTTCTTCTAATGGCCTCACCATTAGGTCTCAGCCCTGCCATGCAACAGCCAGCCATAGGCATGAAAGGAGCATTCAGTTTGTGTGGCCTACTTAGTTTTGGCACAAAGCATCTGCACTCAGTTTTCTTTGAGATGAGCTGCCGGGGCTAGTTTCACTTCACGCAGAGCCTGAGCAGACCATGGTCCCACTGAACAGAGAGGGTACACAGCCTTTGCACCAGCAGTTTTTAGCTTCAGTGAAAGGTCCCTGCTCTAAATTTCACCAGGCCTAGCTCTGATGGCAACTTCCTGAAATATCGAGAGATATTACAAGGCTCCTAGGATCTAGAGGAGCTTGATCTCATCAACAGGATTTTACAAAAGATTCCCTCTCTCCCACCAACAATCATGAGAAATAGTTCCAGCATTTCCTGATGCTACTCCAGAGGCCCTAAAACTTTATACGTAAGAGTACAGTATTGCTGTCCCAGTGCCATGCTAATGCTTCTTATCTGCAACCTTGCTAAACAAGGTGTGGTTTAGCATACATGAACTAAAAGCAATCTGGTGCTTTAATTCCACCTCTCAGGCAAGGAGTTTTTCCTAGAAATAGGAACTCTCTTATTGTTCACTGCAACTCCTGGTGTAGGACATGAAATGCTCGAGATACAGAGTGCTGCTTTAGGATTCAAGAGTCACTGGTCTGCTAAAACTTCTTATCACTAATGATGGAGACAGAGGACCCCTAGTATAATAAACAGCCTGCAGGACATGACAGCTGCTGGAGCTGCCTCCTGGTAAGCTGAATTCAACCAGACAGGCCCATTCCCTTACCGAGAAGCTTTTTCCAGGACTTGATGAGCGATTTGGCAAGCGATATCACTTCTTCATCAGTGCTCTGCTTCCGCAAGGCATTCACAGACATCCCGATCCGGGTGGACTGCAAACCAATGGTCAAGAAGTGAACCGTTCAGGAACTAAGAAGGAGATGGCTCGTAGTACTACAAGGAGAGATCAGCTGGTCCTCAGTGGAAACACAGCGGTACAGATCAGGGCACACAAATCCCTGGGCCACCACACCATGAACATGCCTTTCCAGCTTGCTCTGCTCAGCTGTTGCTGTAGAAAAGTAAACCAGCTGCCTGATTTAAGTTAGCCAAAGGCTCCTTTATAACTGATTACTATAATACATGCAGTCTCCATGATACCTTTCCTCCTGCCTTGCACAACTAGATGCAACTGAAAGCAGAGCAGGTTTTGAAAGAAAATTCTTCTGAGTCCTGAAACATTAAAACCAGGACAAAAATGATAAACAGACACATAGCTGTGAAGCAGGACACTTCCAGCCACTAAGCAGAGCGGCCGTGGTGGCTAAAAGGATTTGAAAATAAAGGGATATTAAGCAGCTTAATTGGAGCATGAGTCTTTAAAGACCTTTTCTGGTTTCAGCACAGAGCTAAAGCTCTTAACTTTTCACAATTGCTTAACCTTGTTTCAAATGCTGAATGGTGCAGAGCACGGAAAGCTTCCCCCTAGAATCATGCACCAATGCAACATTCCCCTGACCTAGTCATGGCTTCACCTCCCAGCGCACACATCTTGCCCCTCTGCTGAGCCCTGCTTCAGCCCATGCCTCCCCACTCAAAACCAAAGTCAATGCTCTGTCTTATTAAGTATAACAAAGAGGTTTTTAAGATACAGCTACCTCTGGCCTCATGTTTGCTACTGCAGTCTCTTTCCCCTCTCTCTCTACTTAGCCCCTAACAGTGATTTTGGAAAAGGTGATGATTTAACCAAACACCTTGACACAGATTTTGGAAGCATCTAATTATGAAGATGAATAGTACCCATATCACCCAGTATGATAAGGCATTGTAAATAAGATGTTACAGCAGTTTAGTGCATCTTTTAATGAGGGAGAAGGGAAAGAGGAGCCCTATATTAACCTTACTTAAAAGAAACCTGCAACTATTCCATCTAAATCTGGATTTTTATTGTCTGCTCCCTAGCTGCATGATTTACCTGCAATAAATCCAGAGTCATGGGCATACTTTTCAGCTCCTTCAGTAAATCCATTGCACCATCCTATGAAGGAGAAAAGACATCTCTCGGTTACTAAAACTAGTGAGCCACTTCTGGTATTGCCAAAGACAAAACAGATCAATCCAACCCTTTAAAATCACCTCACTGGAGCCAAAGCAAATAATATCCCTCTTTAGTACGTCAGGGAGCTAACCAACTAACCCTGGGCCTGATGTTTTAGCTCCCGCTAATTCCAGTCCCCATCATACAGAGGGCTTAACGAAGGCACTGGAATGAAGCAAAGCAGAGACAAGCATCTTTATGCAGAACATCCAGCCTGGCATACAAGCACATTTGTATTGTGCCCTTGTAACAAAACTTTCGGAGCAAGGATAACTTCATAACAATGTGCTTATAACAAGGGTTGCTCCTTTAGCAAGTATTCTCTTCTGACCTTTTCCTGTAGCAATAATTCAGCAATGCTTGCCAAGCTATTGCATCAGAGGTTCTCAAAGCACTTTGCAACCACACATGTGGGATATAAAGCTGCTGTCCATTGCAGCACTTATGTCGCTTGTAGGACACAAAGCCTGAAGCAGCTGCTACCCATAAACTGTCCCTTTGAGAGCCCTCCAAGCACAGCACCAAAGCAACAGAGAAGTCAGGGAGGTCACTTGGAAAACATCACATAAAACAGAGCTGGCCAATCTGTGGCATAAGTGCTACCAGTGGCACAGTCAGCAGACAGACTGGGCAGGGGGGCAGGCCACACAGCAGCAGATAGCGCAGGGAGCAGAAAGCCAAGCAACAGATCGGGTAGGAGAAGGGGATCAGAATGGCACTCAGGGAGGATGCGGGGCTTCATTCGTGGCACGCCTGCCAAAAAGGTTGGGCCCGACTGACATAAAGCAGTCACGTGTAAGCTTTGTTGAGTCCAGAACACGCAGCTGCCAGCTCCATCAGCCTGCACGCGCTTTAACCCCCGTTACAAACCATCACACATGGGAGGAACAGAGACATTAGCAATGCTTCACTTCTGCAGCATCATCCTCCATGCAAAGCTACAGCCTGGAAGGTGTGAGTCTCCAGTGGTTTCCCATCCCCTTCCACGAGGGCAGGCCTTCTAGCATTCATGTTTAACAGCTCATTCACAACACTAATCACTCCCAACCAACTTGCAACACAAGACCTAGGCTGTGACTGCAGCAGTGTGGAGCAGCCTGCCTCCCCCTCCATGCTAAGAGTTTCCGATTCCTCTTGGGAAGAGCTCCAGCTGCCAGTGATCCTGCAGGACAGAGGCTGAGAGAGCTAAATCAAAGTGGAGTTGAGGCTTACAAGGCACGCATACAAGGACAAACCCTCCGGCAGAAGCCTTCCAGTTTGGCAAATCTCCGGCCCTTTCATTTTTCCGGCATTCAGAGACAGGGGGTCAATTAAACCCAGCCTTCGTGTCGCATGCAGTGGCCCAGTTCCTGGCCCCAAAAGGGGACTCTGCTGTTCGCTCCAATGGCGGCAGACCGGGCCCCAGGACGCGTTGAAGACATGAGCGCTCTTGTGGGACAGGAAGAGCCGACGCGGAACACGGAGGCCCCAGGGCAGGCTCCAAATGTACCGCGAGGCCTGTGACCACAGCAACCCAAGGGGTTTAGTGGCCGCCGGATAGACACTCCCTGCTCCACAGGGCTTGGGAGGGCAGCACAGGCTGATGAGGTGCCGCCTCACTAGGCAGGTGGAGGTCGGGGGGTCACCCCGGAGGGCAGCGTCTGGCAGTGGGGGACCAGCAGGGGTACCCTCGGAGGCACGGGCACCCCAGTAAGATGGGGGGGAAGGACACGGGCCACAGGCGACCAGCAGGGGTTGCCATGGAGATGCAGTGAGAGGGAGGTACCCCAGGGAGGAGCAGAGCTGCAGGGGGTTGCCATGGGGACACAAAGGAGGATACCCCATGGTGGGGCAGGGCTCAAGGGTTGCCATGGAGACAGTAGGGGTACCCCATGAGACAGGGCTGCAGGGGGAGGGGATAGACCATGGGGGGGACACCGCAGGGGTTGCCATGGATATATCAGGGTACCCCATGATAGGACAGAGCAAAGGGTGCAGGAATAGCCCATGGGGGGGCCCCAAGGGTTGCCATGGAGATAGCAAGTACCCCCATGGTGGAGCAGGGTTTAGGGGGCAGGGATAGCCCATGGGGGGGACCCCAGGGGTTGCCATGAAAACACAAGGGGGTACGCCAGGGGCGCAGGGGTTGCCATGGAGATGAAGTGAGGGGAGGGGAGGGGAGGGGAGGTGCCACAGAGACACAAGGAGGGGACACCCCATGGGGGCCGAACCCCCCCAAGCCGCGAGCGGGGGACGACACCCCTGGGGGCCAGGTTGCCATGGAGACGCGGCCTGGACTCACCGCGCTCTTCTTGGCCACCATCTTATCGAGGCGCTTGGCGATGCGCACGATCTCCTCCTCCCCGCCCATGGCGCCGGGGCG